TCTCTTTTATGACATCTGCCGTGTAAGGCGATGTTCCGCGGCGAATGAGGCCATCATCACAAGCGCATTCTGATAGCACTGCTCCTGGGATGCTGTTACTGAAAATCTCCTATCCTTGCAATACTTTGCGACGTGGCCAAGGCGTAAACAACAGTAGCAGATTGGCCTGCCATCCTCTGCTCTGAAAATCGAAAATGTTGACCCCTTTTACACTAAACCTAGTTTTTTTGCCGAAGTATGATGTTAATGTTGTGTCGTAAAGAATAATATTGGAAAATCTCAAAAGTTTGCTAATTTGTCTAGAAGCCCCTCAGTCCAAAATGTGTTCCGGTGTCCCTGAATAAGTGCTACATTTATTTGTTTTCAAAAACCAGATAATTTTTGCCGAGGTTTGATGCTCTTATTTTTTCAAGAACTACATGCGCTCGATTGTTTCCAAGACCACTAAATAACCGTTTTGCCAGAAAATTTTTCTTAGCGCGGCTGATTTGCTGATAAAATCTTCTCTGCTTTGTTAAAGTTGGAGAAAATATTCAAAAACACATTGTTTTTTCTTATTGTTTATCTGGAGCTTGGCATGTTCTTACATATTTCCAGCTTTCCTGGGAAATTGAGCCTTTCGGATGGTCTTTTCTTATAAAAAAGAGAATATAGATTTAGTGGTAGTAGTGGTGGAAGGAAGGAGTCTTTTTCAAATCCCCAAACAAATGCTTGTTGCTGGAATAGATATATATCCTATTCCCATCATCTTTTTTTTGAGAATTAATTGTAGAGATTATCATACCCAGTTCACAGGCCCTCCTAAGTTGCCGGTTCATTTTTTGAAATACCGTAAATCCTCGAATTGTCCTCTCTTCGAAAAAACGCCCCTCGAATAAGCCACCAACCTAGAACTACATATTTTCAATAAGCCCACCCCCTCGAATAAGCCCTTATATAAGACCCCAATGGGCTAATTTGATGATTAACGGTAATGGAACCTGGGATTTCAAGATCGGGCAAACATGATGGAGTCCAGTGTTTGCTCCTCCACAGCAAAATGAATTTTCGCCCTCGGAGAGGTACAATCAGTGCAGGCATATTACAATTTGCAGTGTAGTAATTGAAAGTAAACATTTGATTTCCGCGCTTACATTTCGCCTCTGTCTCCAAGAATGACGCAATCAATGTAATTTTTTTAAAATGACATCACATCAGTAAACGTGCGAGGGTTCTGGTATCATGGTGACCAATGAAACAATTATCTTCCTCGTTGAATGAAGTAAAAAGATTTGAAGGTCAATCTTATGACTTGGCATGTTCATTCTAGCTCAGTGGTGGCTTTTCCGCCCTGATTTAAAACATTTTGGCAGCCTTCAAAACCAAGAGCCACCAACTATTGTTCGAGAAATAATTACAATTGAAATAATGTTATTATGGCGAATTTATTTGGAAATAACATAATGAAAGTTATCTTTTATTCCTGGACAGCAATCATAGAAATTTAGCCTACAACGGTCGTGGTTTCTCACTACCACGTTAAAGTCCCCAAGAGCTGTACAGATATTCATTAGAAAACGATACAAATCTTTGTATTTACGCAAATGGCCGTTGCCCACAACCTAAGGATATTCGAATCTGTCTGGCCGCAATCTGGTAACCGAGTTAGGCAACACGAGGACGCGGAAGGTGAATATATGCTACTATCCCATTCAAAGCTAGATTAAAGTCTTTGGAACTTGTCATGCAAACTATTTTCTTAATTTTTTCTTAAAGACAGATGACTAGCCATATAATTGAACTTTATCAAACTTCTACGCCCGTCAAAAATTGTGTTAACAGTAGCGCGGAACTTTCTTCTGTTGATTTATTGTTTGCGTAGCTAAGCAAAACAAAACACGAGTGCCTTGAAACTTTGTAATGAGGAAAACCCCTGATATTAAGTTGACAAGCTTTGTTTTCGGTCACGTTTCACGCTGTGCTGTTTCTCTGCGATATTTATACAGTAAACGTTTGTTTACTGGAGCAGATGGGTTATTAGTGCGCAGTAAATACTCTGCGCATTCCCTATTGTCTTTGCACGGTAAACAAAAACCTCACCCACGGTTCAGACAACAACGGCATAATATACAGTTCCATAGTTGAATTGTTTCTACAAGCGCGATCGGATCGGGTTGCCGGCTTACATGTTTCTTTTAAATAAACTCGTGAGCACTTCGCTGAAGCACAACACAGCGAAACAACGCGCTAGGACACCGTAACTGGAATAAACGAGAGGTTTTTGGCCAGTTTTTTAAGCAAATCGCCCGGTTTCGAAACAGGTAGGATGTTGTTTCTTTGTTGCAAATTGCCTCTTTACAGCTAGTTTCAAAATCACATTTCTGTGCTGTCTGATTTTTCTTACTCGTTAGCGTAGCCTTATTTTTATTACACTGCACTTTTTAGGTGTTAATCATTGCAATTTATTTTCATTCACTCGACGTACTCAGGTCGCACGTGCGCCTAAAATCGATTGACTTCCACTAACCGATCGCCGGTTTACCGGCGTCTTGCCTGGCCGATTTTCTTCTCATTGCTTTTCAGACATTCTTGACGGCGGGCCGCTGCAAACCAGACAAGAGATTAGTCAGATTGTATGTTTATGATAATTATGCGCAGGAATAATATCTCGATTGTCTTGTTTGTTATTTACGTCTGCCGCTACGCAGCACTTTTATTGTCTGTGGTTTCCGGTTGCGCAATAGAATTCAAAGAGGTCTAGGTCGAGCTGTGTAGTGGTTTCATGAAAATGTACCTTGTTTGGCCTAAGCAAGGTTTCCAAAATTGAGGGCTTATCGGTGAAATCTGGTTTTATTGCGAATATCAATGGGCAGTTATGACGATCAGTAGGTTTCTTTTATGCATCACGAGCCCCGTCAGTTAATTTCAAGAAAAACAGGTAATCCTTAGCGTTCGTCTGATTGCTGTGTTGAAAACCTGCAATCCTTTGTGTTGTTGTCTGTAAACATCAATTCCTTACCGGCAAAATACAACTGCCGGTCTTTCGTAGCTTTTATGTCAAGAAAGTAGCTATTTTTTAAGTTAGTTATGTCTAAGGGCTAATGTGAAGCTAGGAGATAAATTTTATAGCGAGAGGCTTTTTTAGAAGCCATGATGAGCCAATTATTGCGTAGAGTTAAAGATTTTCCAGTAGTTTTTTAAGTTTTTTCTTTGTAAGCTTATCTCTGTCTTTTTCTGGAGTTTGCTAAAGGAAATATGTGTTAACCGAAACATGATTTGTAATGTTTCTCTAAAAATTAGAGATGATACTGATTTATTGTTAATGCACTATGGTACCCCTCTGCATGGATTTCCTCTCTCATTGGAACCAGATGGTGGTAGGGTTTTGCTCAGAATCAGTTTCTGATAGGAACACTAGTGCATTAGTGCCAACATTTATGTTGTAGCTGGAAAATTATCATCGCTATCTCTTGTACTGTCTTTGTCTTGTAATTTTTCAGCAGATTGGTGTACCTTTCACCTGATTTATCTAGTCCTAATTTTCTGATCCATGATTTTCATTTTGTTGTATAGAAGACTTGGAATGAATTTCAACTCCTGTCTGTGATGTTCATTTTATAGCTATAACTATGACTGTGCTAAAGGCTAAGAGCCTGTCAAAGATCTTTGGAGTGACTTCATGCTGGACGACAGACCATTTTACTGACAGACCACTCATGTCAAGCCAAACTCTAAATAATAACAAGTATTATAGGCATGGTTTTTGTTGCATTTAAGAGCACATTCAAACATATAGAGTGATCTTTTTGGGCTGCAAAGTGCACAAATCAATGGTATGATATATGCCTAGTAAACTTCTTTTCATCTGGCAGTTTTGGAATTGATCTACATGCAAACCATCTGCATCATTTTGTAGACAGAAGGAGTTTGTTTCTCTCTTGGGCTCCAGTGGGAATTTTTTGTAGGCATGTGGTCTTGTGCTTGTGTTTTTCTGATTGGCCTTTTTTGATCTACAGCTGGGTATATATTTTCCACCTTGTTCTTTTGGACCTTTATTCTGATGTTTTATACTCTGAGGAGTGTCAGACGAAAAAGCTTTCAGTAGTATGTTGTGAAATGTTTGCTTTTTGTAAAGACATTTTCAAGTTCTGTACCGCCATTAAATTTTTCAATTAGAAAGTTCAAGTTTGAAGGCAAGAGGATCAAGGAAATTGTTTGTAGAGTGAAAATGAACTTTCATTTAACTATAAATTTTAAGTATAAAGTATAAATTGGTTGTGAGTTTTCTCTTCAAAAGGAACCTTGGCTAAAGGGTTTTGTTTTTATTAAAATTGGCAATTTTTCTGTTATTCCAGAAAAAAATTAGTAAATTATTGTTGAAAAGATGCTATAATCAAAAAGAAAATTGTAACCACTTATTTCATTCAAAAGTTATTCTGATAAAGTATGCTATGCAACTTATTACATATTTTATTGGATTTCTTTATATGACTTGTGAAACATTTAGAAGACCAAATGATTTCAAAGTTTCATTTATCTGTTTCAGCTTTTTCTTAAGGCCTTTAGTTGTCCTTTCTTTTGTCAAAGCTGGTTGCATTTCAAAGACCATCCTCTGCAGATAATTGCGATATAAAGATCTTAACAATTGTGATATAAAATACTTAGTTGATATTAAAGTGAATTATCCTCTCAGGTTAATTGATTATTACTGATGAGATTTATTCATTATTTTCAGGCTAATAATTGTTTTCTTGGGTACAAAAAATTAACCTTAAGTAACTTTATAATGTTAAAAGGGCAATTAATAAACAAAATGGTCCAATGGTTGAAAAATGAGTGCTTCAGTGAATAAATAATGCAGAATATATTGCAGTTATTAATATTGTGTAGATTCATTATAGTCTGTGTGTTTGATTAATTTCTTTGATATTATGATATTTCAATCAATAAGGTTGTATTATTTTTAAGTGATAAATCAACTTAAGATCCTGTCTTTTATATTTTTATTCATTTATCAATAGACATATATCATCTGTTTTTAATGGAAAAATGGAAAAGATGACAATAGATGATCATAGATCACACTCAGAGAGCTTGAAAGGAAACATCTCACATTCTTATGCTGAGCACAGCAGCGAGCCAGAGAAATATGAAGAACAGAATGGTGTAGAGCTCAGCCATGCTGGGCATGATGATGACTCTTCCAAAAGTTTACCACCTTTAGATAAGAGACATGAGCATGATTATTTGATGGAGCAAGGTTCCGAATCAACACTGAAAGATAGATATGGAAAGCCAAAGCAGCATGGTACATTGTGGGAACCTCCCATTGTTTTTATAAATACAGAAATGTCTGTCCCAAAGTCAAGTCCCAACATGAAGTCATTAGAATCATCTGTTATGGAGCATAGATTTCATGAGCACCAACCACCACCTTCACCTAAAAGCCAAAAGACTCCTTGTCAATGCTGCCATCCAGAACCACTTCATTATAGGCATCAGTCAGAGGCAATAGCAAGGCATCACACGTCTTCAGGCAGTCACCATCTTGCTTATGAAACTGACCGCCACCATGAAGTCTTTTATATTCCAGTGGATGGAGATGATAGAAATTCCCATTATCAGGTTAGACATCCTTGTAACTGCAGCTCCTGTCAGAAGGGAAGAGTTGAAAGCATACCATCAAGTAATTCTCATATTGTTAAAGAAGCTAGAAGAGAACTGCCATGCAATGATTCTTTGAGGTCACTACTTCCAGACTCAGTACCCCGTGTGGTGAGTACCATTTTGGTTTGCTTTAGATGTGTTTGAAGCTTAACGGAATACTTTAGATGTGTTTTTTGAGATCTGTTTTAAATAGAGGAAGGCTGGGCTGATATACTATTGGAAGGGAAATGATAAAAGAACAACATAAGTCAGCATTTAAAAATTTATTGTAAGTAGAATGTCACAATAACAAAATTGCCTGCTAGCAAGTATTTAGCCCAGCTAAGCTTTAGAGGGGTTACAAAACTACTGAGGAATCTTCTAATTCCTTTTTTCTGACCAAAATATGGATTATTTTGAATTTTTTATCATTTGATTATTGAAGGTAACATTTTTTGTCATTATTTTTTGCATAATGTTAAAGATAGTTTATAGATTATACAATTCATATTTCTTTTCCTTCTTTATTTTGATTGAAATGTTTAGAACCAGCAACAATTTGCCTTGCCTGGGTACAGGGGAATTAATGTCTTATGTGAGCAATTTCAAAACAAATTAAAGTATTTTGTAAAAGACACAGTAAAATATCTGGGCATTCCTTTTTGTTCTTGAAAATTTCATGCAAATTTTCTTACAAATCTGACAAGTTCAGAACCAGGCAAAATGTTTCAGCTTCAGTTTGTTTTAAGTCTAGCTTCTCCGTGCATTAATGTTTTGATACCTTTAGAGTACAAAAAGCCCAGTCCAACGATTTTGGTCAATTGATTTTTGGTAGAAATAATGCCAGTCCAATCTTTCAAAAATTTGGTGTAAATTTGCCACAATTTGGTTAGCATTTCAAAATTAGAACAAACAAATTAAACAATTACTATATAACAATGTGTCAATGTATTTTACCATAACTTTTAGCAATGCTTAAGCAATGTTTGTAGTTATAAAGATCTTTGCAGAAAGTCTTGATACGCTACAGTCATGCTTTATAATATTTGTGCTGACGCATGGAATTTCTTTATCATTTTCGGTTTCCATTTTCGGTTTCCATTTTCGGTTTCCATTTCGGTTTCCTTTTCGGTTTCCCTACTTTTGCCACTGAAATTTTTGGCACAAAGGCGGAATAGAATAGTTTAAGACTTCACAGATAAGCACACATTGCAAACTTAGAAAAGCTTTTTTAGCAAATCTGTTTATTTTATTTGTCAGCCTTCCCACCAAAAAAGACTGTTGAAATGTTGTATGTTGAAAGGCTGCATCAAAACTAGTTTCATCGGCTTGAAATCTTACACCGTATCATCAAATGCCAATGTAAAAAAGAGGCTGTAACACAGAATTAAGGCAATATTTTATCTCGAGTTCAAATTTCAATGATTTAGCGCAACACTGCTGTTCTTCTTTAATTGAGGCGACAAACATAGCCTCATGTCAGCCACATTATTTCACAAACGCGGTTGAGTCCGAAGTGGTTATGTTAAACCTGTTTGAAGTTCTAAGATTAGTTCGAGCTTACTATGATATCTATGTGTTGATACTGTAATCTGCTGGTTGAATGGAACAACCAATAACGTATTGGTGGTCATATGGTGGTCGTATGTAATGTTGTTAAATGAGTACGAATAGTTTTACAGCGCTTCGTCGTCCGAAAGGTGGCTGCCAGGAGTTCAGACCAAGTCTGTTTATATCATATTCAGTTAATTAGCGTCATAAGCTTTAGAGGGACTTGTGAGATGCTTTGCAAGATATTATGTGTGATACTTGTTTAAGTGTTTGAAAGAAATTGATATGTAAAGAATTGCCTCTAGGTTAGAAGGTATTTGTTTTACCGCGCAAGGACGCTGTTTTACGCGTTTTTATTGAACAACATTTTCAAGTTCTTGAAAACCCCGGATTGATAGGTAGTATACTGGATTTGTGCAAAACGATTTTTCTGGTTGTTGTCTTACGTTTAGCGTCATCACAGTCGTCTCTCAACCTAATACAACATGTGGTCGCGCCAGCTACAGAGCTGTGGGAGTGGGGGGGGAGGGTCATAAAATTCAGACCACGCCCTATTGTTGTCAGAAAACGTCCTTTTTGTCAACAGGAAACGCAACTTTTGCAAATATGAAACGCCAGTGACTGACTTTTGGTTACGTAATTGCAGTTTCAAAATCATAGAATAACTTCACAAAGAATCACTTTGTCGAATTATCACCCCTCCCCCAGCATGGGGAGGATCTAAACCATGTAGGCTCTAGCTCAGAGGGAGCCACATTTGGTGGGGAAGAGTAGCAAATTAATTAACAGTACCAAGAGGGCATCGCCCCTCGTATTCCCCCCCTACGCCTCCATGTGGGTGTACACGCATTTTACTTCAAAGACTAAGCTTTAGATAAAAACTCAGTTTCTAAATTTTTTGTCAATTTTAGACCCAAAAGGTTTCCCACGTTCCAAGTGCTTAAAACACAGATGTAATCTTATTTTTTAAGTTCAAAAGAGGTGCATTTTGCTATGTAAGTTTAACTAAAATTAGGTATTCAGTCGCCTAAAAATCTTTTTCATCTCAAGGTCCCATCCAGTGGTTTAAAGAATATTGCGAGAAAGTTTATTTTTGTCGTAAACCAGGAGAACTGAGTTATAGAGCTTTTAAAGTTTTTGAGGATAAGGAGAACTTGACCAAAGTCCTAAGAACATGGGTATACAAATAATTCCGGGGCCCCTTTTAATTGGAGTCCCTTAGTTATTGGACCAAGGTACCGTAATTTGCGTTACGCCAATGGTACTACGGTTACAGTTTCTTTATGTTTTTCATCTGATGGGTCGGTTTCTTAAAGACTTATGTAAAAAATCGTGAAGTCCTACCTTCTTGTGGATAAGTGATGACCAATGGTTTGCAACTGAGTTCATTTGATTGGTAGGAATTGGCTTAACTAGCCAAAGGCACGGGGTTTGCTGCATCTGTGGGACAGGAAGCAAGTAGATTTAACCCTTATAAAGAAACTCTTCTGAAATAGTGACATGCCCCTTAGGCAGTGTAGTTGAGGTTCTGGTTAGCTGTTGTATGGATTAAAAAATTCCTAATGAATTCCAGCTGTAAGCTACAGCAAACATTGCACAACTCTGAACGAACCCCAAATGAAGTCGTACTTAATCATCAAGACAAAACATGGCGATTTGTAAAATAAGCAATGTATGCTGTTCTTTCTTCGTTGTTTACTTGAAATTAGACAGGATTTAAATCTTTGTTATTGTATCAACAATGGCTGCAACGCTTGCCAAGAGTTGCCACCAAACAACTTCAAGGTTATTTGTTGGTTGGAGAACATAGACTACTTGAAAATGTAAATAAAGGATACATGTTATCAAAGATGTTCACCTTTGCTTATTTTCTTCTATCTGATATCTGCAAAGCACTTAACATTTCAGGAACTTTTGGTTTATCTGGAGGTTAGGTAAACCCAACTTTCAGAAAGAAGATACCTCCTATAAATAACATAAATAACCAAAAGGTAATTGGGACATTAACAAAGGAAATGATGTGCCTCTGTCAACCCTCGAATGGTTACGTTATTCCTGAGAAATCCTTTTTTACCTCATTCGAGAGTCAAAAAGTGTTTTTCCTGCCATCGAAATAGCATTTCTTATTTTCTTCCTTTCCTTTGGTTATTGAATAGAAAGAAAATGGTTTGCTTTTCTCTGTGTATGTATTTAGATGATTACTCTGTCAAGTGACGACGAAAGGAAATCAGACGAAAGGCGATAGAATGTATTTTTTGGAATTAAGAATAAAGGTTAAAGTCCAGGTCTGTTAGTCAACAGGGTTGATTGGAAAACCCGGAAATAGACTCCGAGTAGTTTTGTGGTTTAGAAGAGCCTACGTCACTTTTTGCCGATGTCATGACTTTTTCCAACAATTTCGTAAAGATAAACAAAGTCATATTACAATAATGCCCTGTCTTTTATGCTTGAAGATTGCGTTCTCTGACAAAGTCGTTTTAAACAGTTATTAAAAACTATATTTGGTGTGTATTTCGTGTCGTTTATCGTCATTATCTGGAGACGTCCCTAGGTATTTTTAGGCTACTGGCAGCTCAGTGCCGTTGGAAGATCGTATACATTAGAGCGGTATTTCAATCCGGGCTATATAGAACCACGCAGAAGTGAAATGTATGCGTCAATTCATATGGGTATTCCTCTGCTGCCACAGGCATCTTACGAAATGACTGCTAACTTTGCAATTTTTTGTTAAAGTTTAAGTAAAAAGTTAAAAGACATACTGTGGTTAAAAAAAAAGTATGAATAAACAAATGTTTCTTTGCTGATGTTTCATATGAAATATAGTGTTTTCATCAGAGCTACTAAGTAAGTCTGAAAATGCAACTTACATCTTTCTCTGTTTTGTAATCCTAGGATAAATACCTTTTCAGCAGATCTATTTGTTACCTTAACTAGATTCTCCCCGTTTTGGTTCCCCTCTAGCGTCTTTTAGATTGGATAACATGCAAAATATGTACCTAATAGCAAATTTAATGTTGTTTGACATGAAATCAATCAATCATGATTCTCTGCTGTTGCGAAAATTAACAGTTCGAAATGCGCCCTTGAATGAGCCTTAATCTAGCCTTTCATATATAGAGCTTTGGTATTGAACACTTCATTTTTACTGCTAGCCACAACCACTGATCGGCCACAGCCTTACTATCCACCAAACGACTTGCCTCATAGACGCAGGAAACAGTGTAGACATAAAGTTGGGCAAATAGGGACTTGCTATTGCTGAAGGTAGTGATTATCAGGATTTCAACAGAACACTTTGTTAAC